TTTCTACCTTTTTCTTTTTCCACATTTTCTCTTTCTTACCCATCCTTACCTTTAGCAAACAATTTTAGCAAAACAAAAATATTTCAAGAGGTTCTTGTAGAGTACTACAGATTCTTAGGGTGCTAATACCTTCCCTTAGTATAACCAACCCCCCGTACCTTTGATCTCTCTTTGCTTAGCTCTAGGCCTTGATTTTTGCTTTGCATTTTTATTTATGATTTATTCTTTCTTTTCCCCTTCCCTCGGATAAATTAAAGATCGGTGGTGATATTTTATGAATTGTGATTTAAGTTAATACAATAGCTTGATATCCGATTCTCACCGCGATATCATGCCTTGTATTCATGACTTTGTTTACATTATGCCTTCTTGTAGGCTTTTCATTTGCCAAATGCCCATTTGGATCTGTTTTGTTCAATCGAGGAGGGATGGGAGAGATTTTTTATCAAAGAGAGAGGAGGTGAGGGGAGAGATTTTAATTACATATATGTTTGGTTCAAAATATGAAAGGGGTGAGAGGGGAGAGATTTTAATTACAACTATATTTGGTTCACAAATGGAGAAGAGTTATTTAAAACTAATTCACTTTTTATCCTTGTAATTTTAGCAGAAGACTCATGATATTTATCATTCCAAACAGATTTTGTCATATTTATAAGTTTTGGCTTTAACAATGTGACTTTCTTTTCCAGACCTGTAATGGTTAAACCAAGCTTCTCTTTTTCAAGGAGTAGAACACTTATGGTCTTTTTTTTCTCTTCACTCAAGCAATATTCTTTCGATTCAGTGAGCAACTTTTTATATGTTTCAACAAGTTCTTTTACTCACATCTATTTATTAGCTATTTCTCATTCACTTTCATCATCAAAATCATTCTAAGTAATTGACAATCCCTTTTTCCGTTTCTTTAGAAAAGTAAAACATTCAACTTTAAGGTAACCAAACTCTTCACGTTCAAGATATTAAACTCATTTGCTTATGTTCAAGGGACTGATGTATGACACCTTGTCTGGGACACTTGTCTTCCATCTTCTTTCAAGTTTCTTCAAAAAGTTGTTAAGCTTTCTCCCAACGAGAGCTATAGCTTCTAAAAAACTTTATCCACCTTGATATTCGTCCTCTTCAATTTTGAACACAAAAGCTATACTTTTATTCTTCTTTTATAATCTTTCGTTTATAGCCACTTAAAATGATGTTCAAGGCATTGAACTCCTTTTCTTATGTTCAAGGGACTGATGTATGACACCTTGAGAAGTAATTACATGATGTTTCCATTCTTTAATCACAACCTTCCAAGTTTTAATGTATATGGATTTGAGAAAGACAACCATTTTAGCTTTTCAATAGTTATAATTGGTGTAATCCAAAATAGGTGGTCTGTCGATAGACCCTTCATCCTTTGTGTTGTCCATAAGAACTGAAAATATCTCCCTGGAGCTCACCCAAACAAAGCATGGTGCCTGCTCTGATGCCAATTGAAGTTCTGTTCCTCAGGGGACAGATATTAGACACGATGTTGGAATAATTGACCCAACTTATTAGACTAGTATGGCAGTAGAATGACAAAAACAATAATACAATGCATAAGCAATAAAATAATACAGGAGATTGGTAACCTAGTTCGGTGAAACCACACATATGTTTGGATGACACTCTACCCAAGAAAGGAAATTCACTATTTCAAATTAGTACAATTAGTCTTCTATGCACATCAACCCTATGATGTTCAATGTCTCTTCCTAATCCTAAAGACTTTCTATTTACGACTCCTCAAAAATATGAGAACCCCTCTCACTTTTTCCAATCACTAACCCCTAGTGATCAACATCAATAACAAATTTATTGATTGTTGAATTTATAACTCAACTAAGACAAACCAACAACTATGCCAAGTTATTGAAGCATAGAGTGTTTTACACAAATAGATTCAACATTAATACAACATTAGCATGGAATAAAAGAAACAAAAGACTCACAAGCCCTAGGCACTAAGAACTTAATCTTGCGTACAAATCCATAAGTAAAACATGAGAATTGAGTATCCTTATATTGCAATATCTTCTGAGCTTTTGCCTCTTGGATCTATGCATTTAACATGTCTAGAATAATAGGTGAATTAATTGGATTTCATTTGCTCCATAAATGTATCTAACAAAAGATATGATTTTTTATATTTCAAGTTCAAATTTAAATCTAATTTGATCTTCAACAATTGTTTAACAAAACATACAAACATTACTAAAAAGTCTGTATTAAATTTAATTGAATCTCAATTAGAAATTTCACACCAAGCAACATCCATCATGGCCTGCTGACCAGAGACAGATGTTGCACTACTCACATGCTGGAACATTGTGTTCCACATGTTGCACCATTACATCAAAATTAACTCTTCTCCATGCATTGCATATTTTCTTTGTAGAATGAATCTTGGATAGAATAATTCTAAAGCAAAACTACAATATCATTTGTCTGTTGTCAGAGACCAGATGTTACAACACACATGTTGGAACATCGTGTTTCACATGTGTCCCTTCCCTTATACACCAAAAACGACTTGAACAAACTTTATGTTGTTTTGCATAATTCAACTAATCTCAAAAAGACCACTAATTCTAATTTCATAAAAGAAAGTATTTTTGAAAATGGTTGTTAGGGGAATAGTTTGTTCACCACTCTAGACCGTTTCAATCCTCATATCCTCCACCAACATGGTGATCATGAACATAACATAAACTAAAGCATGCAAATCATACATTATAAGAGCAGTAAATTAAAAACCTGGAATGCAGAAAATAACTTGAATTATAAGAATGCTCCAAGAGAGACTTTGATCCAATACAACAACGAAATAAAGAAAGTAGTAAAATTGAACAAAAGCTTGGAATTCTAAAGTAAAATTTATTACAGTGATTCTTCAAGTTTCCCTTAGTATTATGTTGGAAATAATGAAGATTTATTTCCATTAAAGTTGTTCCAAAATGACAAAGTGGGTGATATAGTTAATTGACAATAAATGCTTAGTCCCACATTAGAAGTGGAGTAAAATTAAATAGCATTTATAAGGCCCTTGGAACAATGTAATTTCCAAAGGAGGCAAAGAGGATAAAGTGCCACATAGTCATATGTGGTGGTGCCAAAACTTATGTCACTTGTCTCATACAAAACACCCCTCGCACCGGCGACACCGGCTCCGGAACTTCGAAATCAAATACTCCAAAAAATCTGATATCCTCTTCTATATAATTCCAAACGTTTTCCTTGCATGGCTATAAATATATGCCGTTCAAACTCTAAGACAATTTGAGAGTGTGCTTGAAATACTTTTAATAAAAGTGATTTCGTTTACGATTTAGTCTGAATTCATTCGACATTGAAGCATTATCTAACATATTATAGAATATTTATAGGCTCAAAATGACACTAACTAGCAGTTAAGTGCCTTAAAGATGAAAAAAACACCAAACGGAAACCAATGGAAGAATTACATAAATGAGAAAAAACCAAAATCCAAAACTAGAATATAGAAGGTTTACCACAGTAAACGTTGCTTACGGGCCACCTGTACTCCATCATTTGTGCTAAAGGGATCTTCTCTTCCTGCAGCCGTTACGTACTTAACATTTCCTTACGAGTTGGCCATAATTTTTTTCTGATTTATTTTGGAATGCAAACTCATGAAGTGATTATGGTCGTAAGTTATGCTTTTGGACACCCCGTAGCTTTGACGGAGTGCTTGTCTGTCTTGTGCTCTTTTTCTCTTTTCTTCATGAATTAGTTCTTGATGCTTTTGTGTCTGCAATAAAGTAAAAATACCAACCCTTGACCACCATCTTAATTGTACCATCGACTCTGATATTACTGTAGAGTTATGAGATGAGCATTCACATTGGATTAATAACAACTACAGTAGTGAAAGAGACGTCACATATTCATTCGAAATCGCTTGTTTTGATACATATGAATTAGAAGTCTTCAATTGTTTGAAAAAATAGAGGTTGAATATTTTATAGATGAGAGGACTCATGTACCTAATGTCTTAATTAAAATTTTATTTAAAAGTTTGGAGGAGAAAGGAGAAGAGAACTTTGTTAAAAGGGAAGAATAAAGAGGAAAGAGTTGAAATATTTTAGAGGGTTTATTTTTATTCAAAATGCACAATTTCTCTAAATTAAGAAACTCAATTTGTTTTGGATTAAGTTGTTGGAGAGCTTCCATAAATTCTTCAAATATATGTTATATCGTCATAACATTTTGAAAATTAAAAATATAATAATAGTAATAAATATTCATTTGTCATTCTATACAAAGAATAACTTCAAAAATGTTTAAGATTTGTCTATTTTTTATAAATTTCATCTCCAAATTCCTCTCTTTTCTTCATCCTCCAATCTCGTAAAGAAAGCCTAAAATTTAAATGAAAATAAATTGTCTCTCTTACTTGTGTAGTTGCTCTGAATTCAATGTGAATGTCCCTCGTAATAATCAACATTAACATGTGATACATCAACATTAACATATTAATTAATGTGTGAGACAACAATTAGAGTATTGGTTCCATGAATCATAAAAGAGTCAGCTTTCACGAGCTTGTGCTAGGCAATTCATTTGATAACTAAGAGACTATTAACAATTGGTCTAGATATTTCTCGTAGCTCCCAAAGTTATCAAGATTTCATGATTGTTTTTGATATTTATAGAATGCTAATTTGACTATAAATTTCTGTAATATAGTATATAAAAAATTCTTCTTGTTGTATATAACTAATTCCAACACTATTTAGATGCCAAAACTTTCTAATCTTGAATCACATGCAAGACTACCTATCCAAAACCCTTCACTGTGAGCTGGTTTTGGTTGAAAATTGAGTGCAGAAACAAGCAGTTTGTGGCAATTAGCCATGCACATAAGATGTAACTTTCTTTCCTTGATAAATATACTTGTATGCACTCTATCAACATAAGTAAAACATGTACATTAGATTTGGAAACCGTATATGTTAACTCCTCATACTTTGTCTGAGTCCTTTAAGATACCCTATATCAGCATTGGTGAGGCGAGTTTGAAATTCTGCCCACTCACCCTTGCATCTCGTTTTGACCTGATTTACAAGACAAAAATCACAAACTCTTTGTTACTATACCACAAAAATTTCACGTGTAGTACATTAGAAAAAATATTTTATATAGTAATGCTATAAATAGAGACAATTGTGACAGTAGTATCCTTTCCGTGTCAAATAAACATACCGCATCATATTTATCTTTTCCATGATCAGATTGTCCCTGAAAATTGTATATATCAGTTTAGTATTTTATATTAGAGAAAATATGTGACAGTAAGTATATTGTAAGTTAGGGATAATGACTAACCTGGTCTCCAAGAGTTGGAATTGTTTGATGAACAATCCATTGTTCATCAACAACGCCAATTTTTTCATGTGCTGGCTGCCATAAACACAAACAAAAAGTAAGGTATCGAAAGGACCAGAAACTAACCTATGTTTAGAACAGAACAGTTCACTGACCTGTGCACATCTTCTGAGAGCGAAATCTAATCCCCATCCATGCACTAAATCATTCTACGAGCATATGATTGTAAGTTCATTAGGCAGTTAAAAAGTTTGGATACAGAAAAGTATATTGCCAGGTTAACAACCAACACGTGCCTTGAAAATCAAAACATACCTGAATCATATGCCAGACGCAGCGCCATGCTTTTCGAGAAAAGACGGGGGCCATAATTTCCACAAATCTTAAAAAACAGAAGGAATTGTAACCATGTTAACTGAAAGAAAATAAAGTATGTAGACAAAGTCATAAGCTACAATTCAACTTTGCATCATGGAAGAAGAAAGAGCATACGCGGCACAAGGAGGCAAATCTTGATCATTACACCAGCCTGGTCTCTCTTCTGTATATCTTTTCACCAATAGATACATAAAGATGTTTAAGAGATCATTTGAAAGCATGACAAAGGACAACTTGATAGAAAAATGATTGAAATAAGAGAGGAAGGTCAAAGGCATACTTGTGAACTTCTCCATCATCCATCTTCTTTGTCATCTCCCACGTGAATCCACTATTAGCCCCTAATCCAGGTTGTGATATCTCCAACCCATGTTTTTCAACCAATTTAATATACCTGGTACATAAAATACAGTTATGTAAACTAAAAGTTACATTCAAAGAAAAATATGAACAGAACAGATAAGAAAAAGGAAGATACTTGTCTCCATTGAAGTGTTCCAATCCAAGATCTTCATCCCATATAAAGATGTATTCATACGCTGACACAATATCAGGGTGTAAAAACCTTTTAGCATACCACCTGCATAAAATAAAACAATAAAAGTAAAATTTTAATTAAGTAAAATAATGATTTCAACATTAAAAATGATTATCAGCTATTTTCTTATTCTTTTGTTGATACAAAAAGAAAATTCATCAAATTATAAATTGCTTCAAGAATCCTTAGTAACAAACCAGAGAATGTAAATTGCAGACCATAAGTCGAGGGTGAAAGGGGATGAAAAGAGCAGATGAAAAAAATACCATTTGGTTTGTTTCCGAGCACTAATATGGATTACATTCTTTGACCATTCGTATTGATCCCATTCAGTTGTCCGTCCATCATAATGAAAGAGCAAAATCGCAAATTCATCGGAGAACTATAGAACAATACGATGATAGTTGGTACTTTGAAGACAATATGAAAGGTTGAAAAATAACTTCAGATATGTAAACATAGTCCATCTCTATAACCTTTTTGACCGCGGCATCAATATTTTTTCTCTGACCATATCCAACCGTGAATGTTACTAAATACTTTGGCTTTTTCTTCAGATCCTGTAGAATTTTGGGTGTCATAGTTATCCCGATCATTAACAAGACATTCAATAAATTAACTGCAAAAACTCAATAAATTGTATGTTTCAAACTCATCTTACACTAGTTTTTTCTCATCTTTTTCAAAAAGTATCTAATTTAGTATTTTACCTGCATAGTAAATAACTAGCACAGATCATACCTCACTAGGCTCACCCCATAGTCTGCGCAAATAAAAATCAGATTTTGATACAACAATTCCTGCGGGTAGTGATTCTGCTCCGGTAGGATTGGTTGAAACATACATCTGCAGAAGTAACAGTTTTCAATCGGAGTCGACAAATTTTTTCTAATTATCTTGAGAAAAGGTATTCCTACAAACCTGAAGTGAATATAAAAATGTAATAAATAGTGACAAACTAAACGAAAACCATAGCTGGAATGCAACATAAAATCATTATAAGAGATAAAATTACTAACACTGATTCTACAACATAGTTAACCAATAACACAATATTAGCCCTGCCTTTGGTATAACATAATTATGTTTTTGAGGGAAAAAAAGTGAATAGAGGAGTAGAGTAAATAAGAAGCACTACCTTTGGTAATCTCATGGACCCTAGGAATTCAATACGCTTGGTTCCATAAGATTCACTAATAGATTGAGCTTTTTCTAGATCAGCGATAAATCTTTCTATTTCAGCTATTGATACATCAAAAGAATTTCCTAAGGGCGCTGGAGAAAAGTTAATCTGCAAAATTCAAGAAAAGAGAAATGTGTGGATAATATATTAAATTCCCCATACATCATTGAAGATTTAAAAGTAGCAAATATTACCTTAGACAAATGCAAAGATGGAAGGGAAATACCAATGAAAACTCCAAAGGCAACTGCCATAACTGTTGTAATGATAGACCTGGTACCATCATGTGCTCTTTTTACCATACTGCAGAAGTAATAACAGACTAAACTAATAATGAATTTCTATGATTATAAAGAAAAAAGGTTGCTAATTGTTAGAGAAATTATATTGACATAAATTTGATGATTAAGGCAGTTTAAATATGATTAATTGATGTTTAACAAAATAACATTGCGATGCAGTTCATTATTCATCCACTAAACACAACAAACAACTATTATTTTTTTTTGGATAAAGGAGAGGGCTGAAGCTCAAAAATAGAAATTACACATACACCAGTCTAGGGGTGGTCATCCCCATAACATCCTCATCTAACAAAATCCTAATCTGATCAGGGGTAACATCAAAGAAAATACTGCTAAGCTCTAATAAACATCAACGCACATATTGGCTTCCCTATACGAATGAACCACCTTCACCTCCCCATGCAGCTCTATTAAACGATAGATATTTTTCACCAAAGATTGCCCGACTATACTACTCGAAACTACACTATTTAACACCTTCACAAATCACAACTGCCATAGAATCAACATTAAGCTCTTCTCTATCAAGCATATAGCCTCTTAGTATATACTTCAAACCTTCAAAAACTCCCCATAACAATGATTTTAATATCAAAAACCATAAGTATATTAATCAGATATGCATATATCAATTAACTAACCCTTCAATTTTTGTTAAAACATACATGATATTCAATAATTACGATTTATGATCAAATATATACTTGAAATTATGGCTATAGTACTAATGTTCACAATCATGGCTAATTCTACTAAGTTGATGATTAATGAGTTATACCACTTTCAAATATTCATTAACCATTCATGTAATGTAAGCTATTCACATATTTAAATAACAAGTTCAATTAATAAGCTACAAAAACTATTCATACCTGCGTTGCATTGTTCCACACAAGTTAGGAACTTAGGATCTTCAAATATCAAGTAAAGATATTTAAGTACTCCTTTTCGCAAACTACTCCCTCCGGTCCACAATAACTGATCTAGTTAACCAAACAGTGAATATAAAACATAAATCAATAGAGTAGAGTGACACGGAAACAGCATTAATCATGGATGCATGCCTATTACATGCATGAAACCATTCAAAACTTAGGAATTTTAATCGGGAAACAAAAATCAGTAAACGAAACTGAATTCACGTGACGATGTTGCATTATGGATCTGCAATAAAGCTAGAATGTAACTGAACGAAAACGATGAAGTAAGGAAATAGTGATTCGCATTGGAACGTTGTTATGATGGTGAAATTGACGTTAGGATTGAAATAAACGAAATTGAAGACGATAATGTGACGGAGGATTGAAGGAATTGAGAATTTGCGTAAGAAGGAGAAGAAGAACTTACGGAATCGATGGGAGAGGAAGAAGGTAGGATTCAGGGTTTGATGGAAAAGATGCACGTGCGGTATTGGCGATTGTTGCTCCTACAGTCTGAAAACTGAAAACTGAAAACTGGTGAGAAAGTGAGAAGGGAAACGTTTGATATTAAAATGAGGAAATTGCACCCGAATGGTGGTTTAATATTTGAACATTAATTTAAAATAGAACACATTGATTTGGACATGAATTCGTTGAACCGGATCTATGGCTCAACCCACTTGTTGGATTCATCGCACGGTGTTTTGTTTGGGTATAGTTTTCGAAAATCACTGGATTTTCAAAACCTTTTTCTAACCGAACCAAACCAAACTTCTTTCTGTATTTTAATATTTTTTTAATTAGTATAATATATAAAAGATAAAATAAAAGGTGCTCTGCCAACTTAAATTAATTTTATACTTTTCAATTTTCATATATTTCTCTAAATCATTACATTTTTATTTTACTTAGTTATCTTATTATTAGTTGTACAGATACATCAAAGATAAATGACGTGGATTCGAATCCGCGATATCGTATTTGTTCATATTTAAAAAAGTGAATTCGAGTCACTAGTTTTTTTAAAAAAAAATAAATTTTTAAGTTAGTAATATGACATGACTAAATGATAAATTTATATAAGGGTGTTCATAGATGTTGGTTGACCCATAAACCCGTTGATTCAATCCGAACTAACTCACAAATTACCTAAACTCATTCATTTATGGGTATATCCAACCCAACCTATAACAACATGTATAATTTTGATTCGAATATTTGGTTTGAGTTTTTCAACACACAGACTCATTGACCCAATTCATTGATGTGTCTTTAGTAATTTTTTTATTATCTTTATACTAAAAGATAAGTTATGACTACAACTTTAATAAATATAACATAATAACAAAGAGTAACATCAACTATGACTACAAATTTAATAAACATAATATAAACACGATAAATTAAAAGATAAATTATGGAATAAAACATAGAGTAACATTGTCATATGTTGGTACTTCATTTTTATAACGACGAATCAACATAAAAAGTAAGAATCTCATACATTAATTAGGGATAAGAAACAAAAAAACATAAGTATCACACGAGTTACAAACAAGCTAGACTTCTTATCAATGAAAAACTATATCTTAATTATTGTCATCATTTTTCGCTGAAGTTCCAATATCATCATTAGAAAAAAAATTGTTCCATATTTTGTGTCATAATTTCATCATTTCCACCCATGTCATACAAGTCTCTTGACTTCAAATGAACAGGTATGCTCCATCCTTGTTCACTCTCATCATCCACATAAATAACCATCTGAGCTTATGACGCTTGAATGTAAGACTCATTATCTTCATGTTTCCTAGTATGTAGTAGTCTTACAAAGTTTACAGAGGTAAAACTCAACTTATCTATCTTAATGCCTCTTGGGTTTGTGGTATTAGCCCATTCACATTTAAACATGGGCATTGTGAAGCCATCATTGGAAAGCAAAATAATGTTTATCAATCTTTCATAGTAAGGGACCCCTTCAAATCTCATTTGGGTATCACTATTGCTTGAATAACTTCGTGTCCCAAACATGCCAAAAACTCCACTGTTTTGAGTTTTTAAAAGATTGTCACGTTCCATCGTTCGAAAATTGAACCCATTGATATTGAACGTGGTAAAGCTTTTAACTTTATCAAAAGGGTCATGAGCAAGACTAATGAGAACATTTTTATCTGGTTCATCAATGTTGTCAAGATTGTTGCAAATCTATACACGATACAACATCCAATTAGTCTTGTTATTATCAAATACCAATTCAATAAAAACATCTATTTTTGTGCGAAAACTCACACGATTGTGGAACTAATGAGCAAACTCTCTATGAACCTTCTTGTCTATCTCAGCAGCACTTCTTTGACCGCGCCTCATTTGTTTCGGAGTAATACTTCAGAAGTGCCTATTTGGTTATTTGATATTAGATGTAAAAAAATCTTAATAGTGAAGATGAAACTACTTAAATGGAATAAAACTACTTACTTTAGATAGTTGTCAACTATTGGACAATTCGTTAAAACGTGTTTATGAGCCTGCAACTTTTCAATTAGTGTTAGAGTGTAATATGAAGATCCACCCATAGGTTTTCCAACTCTAGGAAATAATTCTGCTACACGTGAACCTATTTGCATATCACCAATAGGGTCATCATCTACACGTTCAGGTTGGTTCCATCTAGTCTCAATGTTGTCTAGATATCTTGAACAAAATGTAAGAATCTCTTCGAAATGGTATCCTTCTGCAATAAACCCTTCTAGTTTTGCCTAATTACGTACATGCGATTTAAGTTTTCCCAAGAACCTATTATTAAAACACATTAATATCAATTAAAAAAACTACTTTCTAATTTAGTATCATTACAATAAAATCACATAGTCTACCTTTCAACAGGATACATCCACTGACAATGAACAGGATCTCCAAGTTTAACTTCTTCAACAAGGTGAATAACCAAGTTGTTGTGAATCGGATACCTTTAAACAAAGTATAAACGGTTTCTTAATGATCAAGAAACTCACAAGGGTTAGGGTTAACAAAGAAAACAAGGTAAAACAACAAGGAACAACAAGGATTGGTTATTAAACTGCTATTATTTCTTTTCTCTTAGAACAAGATTACAAGTATACAAGAATAACAAAATAACCTCTCTCCCTTGAAATTAGGATTTTATCTTCCTATTTTTCCTTATGCCAAGATTGAGAAACTAGCATCCTATTTATAAGAAAAATAGCACACTAACCTAATGGGGTTTTTTAACAATTACCCATTACAAGCCAACTTAGGGTACAAGCTAACTTAAACAATTGGGCTTACAAGCAATGCCCAATTCAACATGCTAAGAACCCTAGCAATATTGACTAATGCATGTTAGAACAAACTTCGACTACAACACGCATTACTTGCGAACAGAGTTCGATCCAACGTCGCACAAATCTCCACCTTGGATCTAACTCTATAACATCAAGAAACTACCTTTCTTCATGCAGCTTTATTAACTGCATACAGTGGAAAAACTTGCAACTGGGCAACGTCTTGGTGATCATATTAGCAGCATTATGATATGTCGAAACCTTCAGCACTTGGACTTCTCCACGCTCGATTACCCCTCTGATGAAATGCAGCCTCACATCAATGTGCTTGGTTCGCTCATGATAGGCTGAATTCTTCGACAGGTGTATTACACTTTGACTATCACATTTAACAGTGATAACTCGACCTTGAAGTTTTAGCTTCTTTGCAAAACCTTCAAGCCACAATGCTTCCTTCATTCAGTTAGGGCAATATACTCCGCTTCAGTGGTTGATAAGGCAACGACCTTCTAAAGTGTTGCTTTCCAACTGATTGTTGTCCTAAACATAGTGAATACATATCCAGAGATAGATTTTCTGGAATCCATACAACCTGCATAATCAGAATCGACATATCCTTCGATTGCTGCTTTACTATCTTCACCTAAGGCTCCACCATAAATTAGGACTCTATTCAGAGACCCATTTATGTACCTTAAAATCCACTTCAATGCTTGCCAGTGAGCCT